GGGGGGGGGAAACGGAGCTTGAGCCGGGTAAGGGGTGAGACTGGGAGAAAATTCTTTTCCATCGACTGGAAGGTGTCACGCCGCAAAGCCTGTTTCTCGTAATTAAAGTCTCCTAGGAACGCACACATGTCACAGGCAAAGCTTGAAGTTTGTTGCAAACTCAGTCCCTTTAGGTCTAGTACCGTGTTTCAGCCCCTACTCTGTTTTCCTCAGCCTTAAGTCATAACCACAGTCATCTTTGCCAGCCGTTTACTTTGGCACCTGCTCCCCTAGGATCTCCGTCATCAAATAATATTTTTGTCGCGCGACCGCTGCACTCGGTGACTCAACACCTTGAATGCCCCAGCCTTCAGCTCAGGCTAGACGAATAATTGTCGCCGGGGGCACTTTCAAGTGAGGAGAAACTTATTTTAGCAAAACTTATTGTACAGAAGACCTTGTGATGCAGATAAAACGCTACGCTCCCAGTTGTCTTTTTTGGTCACGCCTCCATGCTACATACGCGGACAACTGCAGTTGGCTCAATCGTGGCATTTCGAAATCACATGCATCCTTTGTACTGCTGCTCACTTGACGTGTTGGCACAGATAATGAAAGGTTAGGCGTTGCTGAAAGAGAGCGTTTTTTAAAATTAAGAATCTTCGATTTTGTCAAGGACTGATGTAATTCTTTGCGTCAAAGCTAGAAGCTTTCCTTTTTGTTCATTTTTAGTTCTTGTTCCAACTGTCTTCATAACTCAGTTAAGTCCCCAAAAAGTAAAGCCTTATCGCAATTGTTCTGTGCTACACAAGGGCAGGTCTGTCATTTATAATCTGAAAACCCTTTTTCTCCTCAGCTTTCTGGAAGGAGTAAACAGGACCTTTACCTGCTTTGAAGAAGTCTACTTTCCACTAACACTGAGGCCTTTTGTTTGCTGTTTTCATTGAGCGTTAGATTGGAGAGGACTTTAGGGATCAAATTGTGCCCTCAGTCAGTGTACTGCAGCATTTTAGGATTTATTAGCACTGCTATTTAGAGACTGTCTTCCATAGTTATTCAACTTTCTTATAAACCTACTCTGTATACAAAGTAAGTGCTTTTGAAAAAAGAATTGGGTCAGACTTTTAAAGGAACAAAAGTCAATTCATCTTCATTTTAAAGAAAATTACTTTCCTAGGAAACTTCTGAATCCATCTAACTCAAGGAAAACTAGAGAGCTTGAGAAGTATATTATTTCCCTTCACAAATAAATTATAAATGGAAAAAGATTTTGAAATTTTAAGTCCTATAAGAAAATATGAAACCAAACCCATTGCCATCAAGTCATTCCAACTCATAGTGAGTCTAGGATAATTTTAAAAATAATAGTCTTCCTAAGCAGGTCAAGAAACTCAAGTCATAAAGAAAAAGACTGACAGATTTCAAAAAGAAAAATTTAAAACTTCTATATGGCAAAAGAACATTGACCTGAGAAAATATTTGAAACATATTGTGGACAGAATTAAAATCCATGATAAATAACAAACTTACAAATGGGTTACTTGTCCAACAGATACAACAGTGTAGTTAACAGATACATCTTCGATCAGTCACTCTCACTCTAAAGTTGGTCAGCACAGTAAGGCTAACTAGAATGTTGAAAGTTTTTCATATAAGGACTTTTCAAAAAATGAATTTGGTAGGACAAGATATAAATTAAGTGAACAAATGGTAAGCAGAGCCAAATCAGTGTTAGCCAGTTTTCTTGTAGAACTTGGGATACAAGTTGTGATCTTTGTGATCCTGTAAGTACCACAAGCAGTGCTGACGTGAAATATCTCACAAAGGACATCCAGTCATCTCGGCTCTCCATGCTCTCAAGAGCTGGGCTCAAACTCTCAAGAGAATCTGCTTCCCTGGGGTCTTAGCCTATCAGATGAGCACCATCCTCTTCTACTTTGAAGAGGACATAGTTTGAAGATGTAAAAGTAGAGAAGTCTTTTGCTACTGAAAGGATATATTTTAAACAAGATATAAATGTGGTCTTGCTGACCAGCTCACTAAATTCTCTTAGGGTAATCATGGGCCTGTCACTCTAGCAGCTACCATGTTTATAGGTCCTGTGCTATTGTGGCTCACGGCTGTGCTGAGGGTATCTGCTCTGGGAGAACAGTAGTCCATTCTAACATTGATCAGGAGACCCTTGTGGTTTGAAGACTCACTAACCTCTACAGATGGGCATTCAGAGGCACCAGCATCCATACAGACTTTCGAATAGTAGTCCAGACACCAAAGAGTAAGAAAAACCTCTGAAAGCCAATTTACTCTAATGCTCCAGAAGAAGCTCTAAGATGGAAGACTTTCTTTCCTGCTGAACAAGATGCCCAGCTGTATGATGGTTAAGGTTGTGTGTCAACTTGACTGGGACATAATTCTCAGGGGTTTGGCAGTTACGTTGTAGTTTGGCAGCTGTGTAATGATGTAATCTCCCCCATGATGAGATCTAACATAATGTAATCATCTCCATGATGAGATCTGCTATTGGCAGCCAATCAGATGAAAGGGAGTCTCCTTGGGGGTGTGGCCTGTATCCAATATATATGGACTTTCTGGCAAAGCTTGCTGGCTTTTGCTTGCTCTGGATCCTGCATCTTGCTAGTCATGATCTGACCTTCAGTTCTTGGGACTTCAGCCGGCAGCCTGCCATTTGACCTGTCAATCTTGGCAGATACATGAGTCAGGAGAAGCCACCAGTCTGATGCCTGACCCATGGACTTAGGACTTTCCAGCCTCCACAACCATGTGAGCCATTTCCTTGGTATAAATCTCTCTCTCTATATATAAATGTATATATACTTCACTGGTTTTGCTTCTCTAGAGAACCCAGACTAAGCAAGCTGGAAATCACTTCTCTTAGCAAAGTATCTTTCCTCAACTCCATCATGGTAGGCAGGACTTTTCATCAGCATATTCAAAATACAAAAGCCAACAGTTGGGAGACAAGTCCATAAGAGCATTATTAAGAAAATCCTTATGGAAGATTGCAGAAGGCAACAAAACAGCAAATCCTGATGGTAAAGAACAGACAAATCCTTACAAGGACAGCAGATCTCCTGGTATGCACTGATTCCAACTATACCAGGTGCTCAGAAGGAATGCAAGGATTTCATCCCTTTCAATCTCCTCAGATTGATCAGGGCTGTGAATCTTACAGGTCATCCTGAGGTGGCTATGAGTAAGTCTGATGAAGAAACATTTAATACAAGAGCATTACCATTGCAATGATAGAAAGATCAAATGTGACAATACCAACCTGGGAAAAGACACTTGTTTGCAAGGCATAATGATATATTAAAAGTATACTTAACAGAGGCATATACCCAATGCGCCATAACCCAGTGGGTGTATGGATACCAGTGCAGAGAACTATCCTCTATGTCCACACTTAAGATGTGTCCTAAAACCTGGGGTTACTACCATAGCTCCCATTGATGTTTTCAAAGTTTTGTTTCTTTTTTTTTTTTTTTTTGCTGTTTTAGAACTGCCTATTTTATTTTATAATCCAAATTAATCTTCTTTGGTAT